CCCCCAGGAGGCTCCGAGGCGGGGTCTGGGGTACCAGAAGGTACGTCGGGGCTCGATTTTGGGAGAATGTCTCAGGCGAAATCGCCATTCTCTGAGAATCGGAGTCAAAATCATTGAAATTACAATGTGTTTTTGAATGTTTGATGATAGTCTTTTGAAATTCCCATGTGTTTTTGGACCCTGACGTCACGATCTGCGTGAGGGGTGCCACCGATTTTCAGAATTTCGAGGATGTCCCGAGCGAAACGGCCAGAACAATCGCGGACGCGGCGCCCCGCGTACGCATTAATCGCCTCTGAGCTCTACTCCTTCGGAGAGGTGCGTGTGAGAATGCATGTATAGTTATAGCAGCTTATATAGATGTACACACGTATCGAGTAAATCGCCAGCTCGCCCTGCAGCTCTGTCTATGTCTGTGGTTTGTTTCTCTCTCTCTCTCTCTCGTTCTCTCTCTCTGTCTGTATCTCTGTTTATTTATCTGTTTTTATGTATCTCTGCTTTTTGTAGTTGGTCTCTGTCTTTCTCTGTCTCTCTTTCTGTTGCTTTATTTCTTTCTTTCTTTCTTTCTTTCTTTCTCTCTCTCTCTCTCTCTCCTTCTCTCTCTCCATGCCTCTGGCCCTGTGCCTGTCTGCGACCGCCTCCCCTGGCGAGCGCTGGCGGGCTCCCTCCCGAAGCGCTGCGATGCCAATGCAGCTCTGCGCCCCTCCCGCTTCTGATGCTCCACCTCCCGCCTCGCATGCTCTGGCTGGTCATGCTCTGGTTGCTGGTGCTCCTCTTGCTGCTCCTCTTGCTGCTCCTCTTGCTGCTCCTCTAGGGCTTCTCGTCTTCCTCCTCGGGAGCCTGCGACCGATGTGCACGCAGCGTCGTTCGGTAGCTCGCCTGCTGGTGTAATGATGCTGCCCCCTCCCGAACACGGTGAACCGTAATCACACAGCAGGAAGGTTGCAGGTACACAGTAATGAACGTACAGCTGCACAGGAGAAAAAGCCACAGCCCACATAGAGTACGCACCGTACATACGGACCGTTAAAACGTACCCTTTGTACGCACCGCAATTCCGCACCGTAAACACGCACCGCAAGTATGCACCGTGAATGCAGCGTGTATGTACACATTGTCTAATGAACAGCGTGTGTAGACAGCGTGTCTGCATAGCGTGCGTGTGCACAACACGTGTTTACACAGTGTGCGTGTATAGAGCGTGCGTGCACACAGCGTGCGTGTATAGAGCGTGTGTGTGTGTACACATCATATATGGATACACGGTGTATGTGTATAGAGCGTGTGTGTACACAGCGTGTTTGTACACAGCTTGTGTGTGTGTGCGCAGCGAGTGTGTACACCAGGAATACGCCTTGTGAATGCGCACCGTGAGTACACACCGTAAGTACACACCGTACATACAAACCGTGCATACGCACGTGCATGTTTACAGACGTGTGCGCAGACAGCGCGTGTGTATACAGCGCGTGTGTATACAGCATGCGTGTATCCAGCGTGTGTATACAGTGTGTGTACACAGCCTGCGTGTACAGAGCGTGTGTATACACAGCGTGTGTGCACACAGCGGGTCTAAGCACACAGCGAGTACGGAGTCTACAGTACTCTTGAGTTGTTTCCACGACCACGCAGCAGGATGGCTTACAAACATCAAGATACAAAAACAATGCAAACCAAATACAAGACCAAGATACAACAACAATACTCATAAACAAAAGCAAGGCCAATATACGAAACCAACATACAAAACCAATATACATATTCAATACGAAACAAAAAAACGCCAATACAATACAAAACCAATACCAAACCAGTGCGACACCAACGCAACATTAGCCTGGCGAAGGACCCAACCATATGCAATTGTGAGAACCGCAGTTGAAAACACCGTCTTCCGTGGAGCTCCCTTTGGCGCCACGACACGCGTGAGGGGTGCCCAGTGAGTACTGAGTACTCACGGGGCACTCGCAGCAAATACCCACCGTAAATACACACCGCATCGCAGCCGCACGCTGTACATACACACAGAAAATACACATCGTAACAGGATGCTCCGAATGTACATCTTCATATACAGCAGAAGAAACATGGAAACACGCACCGGTATAAACCACTGCTAACACAAACGCGCATCTCGTGGTGAGCACATAACAGGAAAACGCGCCGCCGAATCACTCCGCGACATCTAGGAGAACGTGGGGCGACGCTGGGGAGTTGCCCACAAAATATATAACTATCCACCGTCGAACGAAACCGAAATAGACCGGGGACAGCGCGCCGCGGACCGCGAAAAGATGCGCAGAAAGCGTGCCTCTTCGTCGCACGCAGTGGGGGACTGCGCTGCGAAAGGGCTGCGCAGAAACAACAGGGAAGCACGCACCGAAACAAATTACTGCTAGAAGACAAGAGGGAACATGCGCCAAAAGCTGCGAAGCCATAGCGAGGAAACGCTTCGCCTAATCACGCCGCGACCACGCGCTGGGCAAACGGACAGCGACGCCGCAGCGTTGCCCACATGATCACTTTCACCGTGGAAGCAGAACGACATCACTCGCGAAACGAGAAGTAGACAACGCGCCCCTAGTCGCATCGAGAAAATGCGCTGCGAAAGCGCAAAGCTGTAATTGATTTTCAATGTTTTCCGTGAGTGCACATTGCAAATGCACATCGTCAGCGCGCAGTGTGAATTGGCGCCGAAAAGACGCACCGCACATTCACAGTAAAGGCGCCGCAAATGCACACCGTAAGCGCGCGCACCGTGGCGCAGGCCGACAGCACATGCAGAAAGTACACCCCGCGAGAAATTCGCCGTATATGCTTACGGCAGAAACACAAGGGAAGTACGCCTAAGCAAATGACTGCTAGAAGGGATATAAAAAGGGACAAAGCGCGCATCACACGGCGAAGCCATAACAAGAAAACGCGCCGCCAACCCACGCCGCGACAACGCGTTGGGGGAACGCACGGCGACGCCGCAGCGTTGCCCACAGGCACGCGAAATAAACCGGGAATGCGCGCCGCGGAGCGCGAAATGGTGAGCAGATAACGCGCCCCTTTGTCGCATATAGAAGACGCGCTGCGAAAGCGCAAGGCGATACCTCATATTCAACGTTTGTCATGAGTTAACATGGCAAATGCACAGCGTAAGTGCACAATGTAGATACGCACCGCGAATACGCACACACACACACACCGTAAAGACACACCGTAACGATTTACCGTATTAAGACAGCATAGATTGACCGTACAAGCTCGCCGTGAGAGAGGACAACGCTGTGCAATGACGGCCCCCCCGTCGCTGCACTCTCACGGCTCACCATCCTTCCCGAATAGTGCGGGTTGGTTAGGCTGGATGGACAGTTCGTCCCCAGCAGTCTCGCTTTGTCGGGGTGCCTTGCTCTCTTTTGGGGTCCCTGCTGGGCCACAGGGCATTCCCCCGCGCAGAGCCGGCGCGTTCATGGCCTACTGCGCCATGTTTGCAGATCCGATCAGTTTCTTACTCTCTCAGTTGCGATGCCACTGGCACCGTCGGATCGCACGAGATTTGGACTGGCATGGTCATCCTGCTGCTCCGCCTGCCCTTCATGTCGACCAAGTAACGAACGACACCACCCCACCTTCGGCCCTCCGTGTTGCGCCACGGCCCATCGGGGGGCGTGGGGTATACCACGCGGAAGCCCACGCCAGAATATTCCGCTGCCCCGGCGTCGGATGCTGGGCCCCCACCGTGTCCGAGTGTCCGTCCTCTCTTGGGCAAGCCGCAAGCGCACTCAGGCGTGAGGGGTCCATAGGGCCGCCGCGGCCGCCCGTCAGGTGACGAAACTTGGCGTTTTTCGGACGTGCGCATCTTTTCCTCGGCGAGGACCATCGAAAAGCATCTTGTATCATCCAGCGAAACATCCACGCACGAAGTCGACGAAATGTACGGGGAAGGGGCGTCCGAGAGATGGCGAGAAACGGCCCGGTAGCAGGCACGCAGGCAAGGATCGGGGCTCCAGGGCCCGGGGTCACTGCAAGCGGGGGTCCGTCAGAGCGCCGGATCTTGCAGGATCCTGCAGGGCCAGAGGTGCTCTGGCCTGGGCTTGCGTGCAGGATCCTGCAGGGTCTTGTAGGATCTTGCAGGATTTTGCAAAGACTCGGGTCTGGGTTGACCCGGGCCAGTAGGTCCCCGAGAGCGTGCGGATGGTGAGAAGCCGTGCCGGGTGACAGACACAGAGAGCACAATCCCACTTGACGATCCTCCAGCGCAGTCCTCAACAGTTGCTGCCGCCTCTTATTCGAGAGGCTTGTGCCATTCCGCCGACCCCACAGTTGAGGCGTCCGTGGGGAACTTTCGGGTACCATTTGGCAAGTCCTGCGGCCGTCTTGGGAGCTGTTAGTGGGGCCTGGTGGAGCCTCGGGGATGCAGTTCTGAAGCGCCCTGGGGGCCGTTTGGGGGCCTCGTTTGGGCCTGCTGGGGGCCTCCCGGGGCTGCCTGGTAACTCCTGTGGTTCCCGGGGCGGCGGCCAGGCTGCGGCGGAGAGTCCGCGCCTCTCGCTCGTCGGCGGCTCCCGCGCCTCTCTCCCTCTCCGAGCGCGCGTGGAGGGTTGCTCCGAAGGGCTTCGGCGACCCGTCCTGCTCCTCCTCCTCCTCCTCCTCCTGCTCCTCCTCCTCCTCCTCCTTTCCTTCTCCTCCTCCTCCTCCTCCGCCTCCTCCTCCTCCTCCTCGGGTCGCCAACGTTTCCGGGGGAAGCCGTCCAAGCGGGCGGGGCGCAGGCGCCTCCGCCTCGCGCGCCCTCTGGCTCGTCCTCTGCCGATGCCTTCTGGCTTCGCCGCCTTCGGGCCTGTCCGTCTCTCCCGCTCCTCGGTCCCTCGGGGGCGGCAAAGCTGGCGAGGGCCACGAGATCTCCCCAGATTTCATGGCGCCCCTTCTTTTTTTCTTTTTACGTCCCCGGCCCCCCCCTGTGCCGTGCACATGCCGCCGGTCATGATTTGCACCCCCCCCCCCTCTTGGACGCCCCCCTCTTGGCCGCCTCCGAATCGTAGATCGCCCAGGCAACTGTCCCTGGTGGTGTTGGTCTCGGCTTCCCTCCTTCCCAGCAGGCGGCCGCGGCCCGCAGGTGACGAAAACGCACCCGGACGGGACCTACGACCTCGACTGCAAGCCGAACGTGCCCCCGGACGCGTGGCCGGCCGCTCTGCGCGGGCTTCTCGGGGGTCCCCTGACCTCAGCGGAGGACAAGGCACCCCTATCGCTACCCTTCGCCCAGTTTCAAAAATTGTGGGCCTCCCGGGAGGCCCTGGTCGCCACCGCTGGATTCGCCTCGGAATCCTGGTCAGAAAGCGCCCCAGGCGAGGTCTGGGAAGTAGTGGTATCGGTACCTTTTGGCTTCCCCATATGGTGAGCTGTGACAGACCGCGCGGCGGTCTCGAAATCCCACAACACGGTCCGTCACCGCACGGCGCCACCGCACGGTTTTGGGACCTTAGAGGCCCCAGTTGCCTGAGACACTCTTGGAGAACGACCCTCGTTTCAAAACTGGTTGGTCACGCCAAATCCCTACTGACTCACCACTCGGTGTGGTCACCGCCCCCCTGGGGGACGACCCCTGGCCCCCTTTCCTCTCTGACCTTTTGATCCTCTTCCTCTCTCATCCCACTTCTCTCTTATGAATTCTCCCTCCCCTCCTGGCTCCCGTCCTTCTTGCATCACGCTCGCGTCGCAGTGGTCGCCGTCTCAGGCTTAACTCGAATATTTGAGACTACGGCCGCCACGCCATGCCGGAGGAGGAGCAGGAGGAGGAGGAGGAGGAGGAGAAGGAGGAGGAAGAGGAGGAGGAGGAGGAGGAGGAGGAGGAGGAGGAGGAGGAGCAGGAGGGAGGAGCAGGAGGAGCAGGAGGAGCAGGAGGAGGAGGAGGAGCAGGAGCAGGAGGAGGAGGAGGAGTAGCAGGAGGAGAAGCAGGAGGAGGAGCAGGATGAGGAGGAGGAAGAGGAGGAGGAGGAGGAGGAGGAGGAAGAGTTGCAGGAAGAGGAGGATGAGGAGCGAGACGAGGCGATCCGCATAAGGCTGGGGTCGTCCAACTCCAGCTGTAAGACTAGAAAGGTTCCCCTGCTTGGGTAGAACGCAGCAAGGACCCGACAGCCCTTCGACATCGTATCGAAGCCGCTGCCAGGGCCTGCGCATGGGCGGATCACGCGGCCTTCTCTCTCCCTCCTCCTCCTCCTCCCCGGCCTCCACCACAGGCTAGCGTGCGGCCCGTTCGCAGGGAGCCCTGTATCACCAGTCAGTAGCTCTCCGAAGAAACCAAGGGGTGCGGCACCGCTGGCACTGCGTTGCCAATGGCGCGTGCGAACGGGCCTGCACAAGAAGGAGGGTTCCCTGGGCCCCTCTTTAACTCGCGAGCCATATTCCTTTCTGTATCCTGCGGAGAAGACGACCGAGGACGAGAGACTAAGGGACGAGAGGGGGGAACATTGGGCGAGAAGGCTTGCACGCCGAGATGCCTTCGCTAGGGCGTGCGACTCTCCCTTCGAGGCTAATTCAGTATTCTCCTCCGCGCCAAACGCGCTCAGTTGACCCCCTGTGCTTTCCCAGTCTGAAAGAGCGTAATATTCACGTGGCAGCGTTTTTGTACTTGTCTCCCATGCTGGCAAGAACTCCAATGCCTTCCAATTCCGAAAGAGCGAATTCCACCTCTCGCAAAGTGCGAGCTGTGCCGCTGGAAGCTACTTGTTGTCGTAATACATCCGCAGAACAATAACTAATGGCCAATATTGTTCCACAGCATGTCATAGATGTCGTCCAAAATTCGTCCGTTGTGCTTCCGTGTCCGCTCTTCGATGACAAACTTTTCAACAACTTTGTCTTTGACCACGAAGACGTCAGACTGAGCCCCTGTTGGGACATCTTGCCGGTCACTTTGCCTCAGTTTCTTACTCCTTATCCACCTCCTCTGCATTTGCACAATCCTTTTGTGAAGCACAAATTCTAGTACTTCAGCAAATTGTCCAGTGGACATCCCCCATTCCGTGCACAGTGTTTGCAGAACGCCCTTCGTGATTTCTTCGTGGATCGCTGTAAAACTGAAGAATCCCAGAAGCGTTGCGATCTTAGGGTCATCATTGAGGAACATCGGTTTTCGAAATTCGTCATCGGCACCAGTCGGTGGCTTCTGAACCTCGGGGCCTCCATCTTCCCAGACTTCCTTCGTTCTCCGGCGAAACAACGAGCGGTTCTCCTGGTACACCATTTCCAGATAATTGGTTTGGCCTCCATCTTTCCAGACCTCCTTCTCGTCCGTCTCACCGCAGGGGCCCATGGTTTTGGAGGTCCATCATCGGCAGAAGCCAATGACCTCCGAACCTCGGGGCCTCCATCTTCCCTCGTCGTCGCCTGCTTTCGTCTGCGCCGCGGCCACGAGGCTCTCTTTGCGCTTCTGGCGCTGCAGTGCTTCGATTCGGCGCCTCCCCAGGCGACTCGAGTGCAGCAGCCCCCTTCAGGGGGGAGCAGGTGGCCTCAGCTGTCCAGCCTTTCCTCCAGTTCTGCTCGGCGGCGAACAAACGAATGCGAAGCAGGGCCAATCGGATTCCACTGGCGGAACTGATCTTCGATCTCCTGCGACAGCGTTTCCAATCTGGAAGATCCGCTAGTAGTTGAGACGGGCTGCTCCTGGGCCCGAGTGGGCGCAGGCGCTGAGGGGAGCCGAGGCGGCTCTGCGAACTCCCCTGGCAGCTCTTCCCCCTGGGCCCCACAGGGCGCAGGGGCAGGGGGGAGCCGAGCAAGCTCTACAAACTCCCCCGCTGCCGTATGCCCTGTCCTTTCGTGCACCTTGCTGCAATTCGCCTCGATGTCCGTTCCGTGGACTTGAGCAACCATTGGTTCACACACTGTAGTCCTGGTAAGCTGGCATTTCCGCGCGTGGGTGTGGCGGGTCCGTTCTTTGAGTCTTTGGCTCGTCTTTCTTTTCCAGGTCGCACTCCAATCTTCCAAAAATTGGAAAGATGCGGCACAAGAAGAATCCATCAGTGATTCATGACCCAACCACTCTGGGAAAGCTCGCAAAGAGGTACGATATCGGAAGGGCTGCAGACATTATTATGTTTGTTGTTTCTCCTTCTCCTCACTTGACCCCGGCAGAGCAACCTGTGCGGCTGTCGGAGTCCGTAAGTCGTGTGAGTGAGGAGTGTCAGTGAAAATCCTCTCTCCGTCGGGGCTCAAAGTGTCTGAGCGCCAACGTCGACCAGGAGGAGGAGCAGGAGCAGGAGCAGGAGGAGGAGGAGGAGGAGGAGCAGGAGGAGGATGGACTCCGGCGTTCGTCCGCTCGTCCTCCGCCACCCGGTGCCGCCCCGCCCGCCCGACGAGCGAGAGGGCCACCCGCGCCGGCGCTGCCGCGAGGATCCGCTCTCGTCGCGAGGGCCTCCGCAGCGTGCGCTCCGAGCCCGACGCCCTTGGGGGCTGCGGCAACTTTCGTGGCCCTCGCCCGTCCGTGTCTCGCCTCCTTCCGCCACCTCGGCTGCCCGGCCGGAGGCGCCCGTGGTGAAAGAGAATACTTTTTGTCAGCGGCCGCGGGCGAGCGCGCCGGCGGCGTGTCAGGTCAAAGCGGGCTACGCAGAGACGGATTAGGCAGGGGAAACGCGGGAAGAACAGACAGAGCGACGGGCGAGGCGAGTGAAAGAGAGTACGCACCGCGTTCAAGGTGTCCGTGTGAGCACGCTGCGTCCTTGGCTTGGCACGCGCTGGCCCACGCTTCGGCGAACGTGCCGCGCCGGGCCTGCGTGCTCGGTCTACGTGTTGCGCCCCGTGTCAGCACGCCGCGAGTTGCGTGCTGCGCATCGGGGCAGCTGTCGGTGGCGGGCGACGGGGGGGAGGTGAGAAGGAGCAGGCCTTCTGAGAAGGCGGCAGGGCTTCGCAGAAGCCCTCGGGACTTCTGAGGAGTCTTCGGCATCTTCGGGGAAGGCTCAGAAAAAAAACCTCTCAGAAGACCGAGGGGCTGCCGAGCCTTCTGAGAAGGCCCGCGCTGTCTCATTTTCCCCCCGGGCGCGCCGCCGAATGACCCGAAAGCCAGGCCTCCAGAGAGTCTGACGTGTCGAATTGGACCTGTTGCAGCTCATTCGGCCTCCTTGGACCAGTCTCGGACCCCTGGCATCGTCACGACCAAACGGCTCGGGGCGAGAGACTCTCCAGGGCCAGGGGCCGCGAGGGCCGGGGCCCCGAGAGAGTCGAAGAGGCAGAGTCGTTGCAGGGGCAGCCGAGTCTCCGCCGCCCGCGGCCGCCCCGCCCCGTGTCGCTCCCCCCCCCCGGGGCTCGCCGCCGAGGGGCGGCCGCAGTGGAAACCCATGCCGAGAGGCACCCGGCCAGCCTCCCAGGGTGCCCAGGGGCTCCTCGGCTCTCGCGTTGGTGTTTCTGTGTGTGGTGGCCGAGCGGGCCGTCCCCCCAGAGATCCCCCAGAGAGCATTTGTTTTTCTCTTCCTCGCAAGTCACGCCCACTTGTCCTCCAAGGTCGGGGTTCGTGGCAATGTCAGGTTTTGTGTGATGGAGAGCGGGCCGTCCCCCCACCAGAAAGCCGTGGACGTCTCCTGGGGTCTCGGCGGGGTTGGGCTTCTCTTGTGGCAGCTCTCTTGTGGTCGAGCTCCTGGTCTGAGTCCGCCACCCGCGGCCACCCCGCAGGGTAAAGTCCGGATGCGCAGCTCATCGGGAGGCCCCCCCGGCATTCCAATGCTATTAGTGTGTGTGTGTGTGTGTGTGTGTGTGTGTGTGTGTGTGTGTGTGTGTGTGTGTGTGTGTGTGTGTGTTCGCCCCCCCCCCCCCCACCCCCCCCCACCCCACCAGGGGTGACGCGCGCACCGAGAAATCCTGTAGTATGTGCGCCCTGGCGGGCGCTTTCTGGCCCCGCCGCGCGGGAAACGATATACTACAACATTGGTACAGTCAACCATGATAGTAAGGATGGGGCACCTTTTCAAGGCTACCCTTGCAGCCTTACCCCTTCGGTATTCGGCATCCTTCGGCATTCTGCTGCGCGCTCCGCACAGAAAACGTCAACATGGCGTTCCAAGGCCCTTGCATCCTTACCGCGCATCCTTACTAATCTGGTCGAGGGTATAGTAAATATTTGGGTCGGACGCGCGCCTCCAAGGAGACAATACAGTCCTGACCTGTCTTTGTTAGGGGAATGCAAAAAAACATAAACATAAGAATTCGGAGGTCCGCGCAGATTTCTTGGATCCGCGCTGGACCCCCTCCCTGGCGCGCGGAGCGCGCCAGGCGCCGCCAGGGGGCCCCCAGCGCCGATGAGAGAAGTCCGTGCGGACCCCCGAGTGATTATGTTTATGTCATTGTTCCTTCCCCTATTCGTGCGTCCCAGCGAAGGAACGTGCCCTGAGGGCATCAGGCCCTGGAGGGATCCTTGTCTGATGAGGGCGGCGGTGATACCTATGGCCGAGCCAATCTGCGATTGGAGTTCCACTGGCTTCCAGACCCTGGATCCCCTATCGAAGGTTTCCTTATCCCGTGCCCCCACCGTAGTCCCACACGTCTTCTGTGCGCTAGTGACCTGTCCCACAGCGGCGTGACAGCGAGGCACCAGTGACCTGTCAGCTCTCGAGTGTAGTATACGTACTTATCACGAGCAGGTGAATACTTCACGAATCGGTCCTCTACGCGGCCTGATAAAAAGATAACCCCCACCGTAGTCCCACACGTCTTCCGTGCGCCCCGGCCGAGCCCGCCGCCCGCGGCCGCCCGGGCAGGATAAAGTCCGGAGGCGCGCGCCCGACCCGCGGCCGCGGCCCTCGTCGGGCGGCGGTCCGCCACCGCCCACGGCGCCGGGAGGCCCGTTGGCCGCACCGCCGCGCTGCCGCCGCGGGGCCCCCCGGGTGGAGCAGCGGCGAGGCGCCCTGGCTGGCCTGCCTATACAGTCGGGGCACTGAAGAAGGAACCCTTTTCGTTGGGGAGGGGCTCGGTGTTCCTGAATTGTTCCACACCTTGCCCAATGTTTGCCTGAAGTGTTTGGTGGCAAGTCGAAGGTTAACTTATGAAAAAAGGGGCTTCGTTCCTTATTCAGGGTTCCTTAGGTCAACGCCCCGACTGTAGGCCTAAGTCGGGCGTGTCCCTCTGCAGGAGGAGCGTGCAAAGCTAGTTTTCAAAACAAGTCGGGGGACGATTGTCTGATGTCCTTTTGGATTTCCACCTGATTTTTGAGTCTTTGTTCAATATGTTTGTGCTTTCCTCCAAAGTCCGCCTGCAGGGGGGCATGCCCGACCTAACTATAAGCCCATCAAAGGATGGAAGCTGTTCTTGCATGTACTCTTTCGCCGATCGGCGCGGGCCCCCGCCCCCTCCCCTTTCCCCCCCTCCATAGACCAAGACCAGACATTGGCTGCTCTTGGCGGCTGCTTTTGGCGACTGGTCAGAGCCCCTCTGCCCCAGTCTGCTTGCGCGACTGGTAGAAGCAGGTCGACGAAGCACCGACCCAGGCCCAGACCGTCTGACCCCCCCTCCTCCCCCATCTTTTCTGGTCAAATTCCTAAATCCAGAATGCAAAAAGCGCATACCTGGCCTGTAGGCCCACCACCGAATTTTCTACGAGCCTCTCTGGGGTCTGCACGCGATGCTCCTAGAACGCCGCTGGCCGAGGTCGCCCGGTTTCCATCCGCGCCGGCTTTGTGCTCTGCGACCATGTGGCTTTTGCTACGAGGACCTTCCCTTGTTCTGAGAACATCTCGTGGTACGGTAGAGGGGGAACAATTCGTGGACACTCCCTTGCTCCCCCAAGCTCAAAGTTGGCACGCGCGGGGGAGACTGCGGTCAAAGTGCAACTCATCGGACCCACCGCCAACTTGGAACATTGGAGGGAGGGAGAGGCGTGGATCGATGAATGTGGCATTCGTGTTCGCTATTTTTCCCGAGGCGGAAGGTCGGCGGAAGTAAAACGAGGCCGCCGCCGCCGGCGGAAGCCGGCGGAAGGGCGGCGGAAGGCGGCGGCCCAACAGATGAAAACGTTTGCAGTTTCAGGGTTTTCTGGGATCGCCCATGTGGCTTTTGCTATTCGGACCTTCTCGCGTGCTGAGAATATCTCGTGGTAGGCCCACGGGCGACTGCCGGGAGGGTCGATCTCCGCTCAGCTTTCAGGCGATCGCAGACATGGATCAAGGGGGCGTGGATTAGCTACGGGTCCCGTTTGCACGGGGAATTGCGGATTTCCGCCGCCGAGCGAGGCGGCACCGGCCGCATTTTGGGGAGGGCACCTCCCCCGATCCATGGATTCGGCGACCGCGCGCCAAATCCGTGGATCGCTAATCCATGTTTGCGCGCCCCCGAGAGTGGGACGCATGGACCACCAATCGCCCACTGATCGCCTGTAGGGGCCCAACAGCCCACCCCGCCCAGGACCGCGGGGATTTGACACCGGGGGCCTAGAGTGGAAACCCATGCCAAGAAATACCCTGCTTGTCTCCAGGGTGCCCTGGGTTTCTCGGGTTTTGATGGTTTTGCGATGGGATCGCTAATCCATGCTTGCGCGC